GTGGTGAATGTAGTCACAGTGATCCGTTGTCCCCGCCATGCTTGAGTAGCATGGGTCACCTCTGGTGAGAAGGTGACAAACTTGTGTCTCGTAGGGCAAACATATCCTCGATGTAGACCGCCATCGTGTAGTAGTCGCCGAACAACTTGATGACCATCAGGAGGATCTCCCTTCAGCCACAACTCACCACCTTCATACTGTCCAAGTCCATGCACCGTGTTGAGAGTGCCCTTGCTGTTGTGGTTGTCGGTGTGGGGTAACGCCTTGCCATTCAACGTCACAACCACACTCGACCATTGCTGTTGAGGTAGCCAATGCTTGAGATAGGAGTTTATGTAGAGGTTCAGTTCCGGATAGCGTGAGGAGTTTCGAGTAACTCCAGAAAAGGCTCCGTGGGAGTAAGCTCCCAAAAGTATATGGAAAGGAGACTGCTGCCACCGAGAGTGGGGTTTCATCTCGGCACGGTTGTGCTTTGCCTCGTTGGCAAACTCGAAGAGGATATTCTCACAGACTTCCATGTCGAAGCGTTCCCGTAGTCGTGCTTCGCGACAAAGCGTCTCCAAACTCAGTCGCGTAGTCTCAGTCATCTGTACATCCAGGAAGTCATCTACCTCTTCTTGTCCAGGATCATCATCAGGTCCTTCTAGAGCATGATTACAATGCTCGCTCTGGTAGTTGCAATCGGCAGCTGCTTGATCATCACGTTGTTGTAGTAGCCGAGCGTGCCGTTGTGGTGCGGTACGGCCTTGCCAATGTCGCGCAATAGCTTGCACCAGCTTCTCGGGATAGTAGGCGGTGGCCTCGCGATCATGGTCCGTGCGAGTGCAATGCTTGCCATGGTTGCCCGGGCAGGTTTTGGTCCGAAAGGCATGATGAAAGGACTCATCTGTCGTCTTGATAAGCCAAGGCTTGCGAATAAAGAGTCCAGATTCGGGGTCTCGCATGCCATAGTTGCAGCCGTCAACCCGACAACACAACCAAGGGACGCCTGCTTCCTCCAAGTAGGCTTGTAGCTCCACCATAGGTGCTTGTTTCCATCCGCCGCTGGGGTGCGGCCACTCGAAGTAGATGTCGAGCGCGGGGTCCTCCTCGAGAGACTCTCGCAGGAATTTGCAAGCTTCCCCAAGGAGCCGGCGCTCGCGTCTCCGGCCTTGTTCCAACTTCGCCAGCTTCTCTGGAGTGTTGTAGTCCACGGACTTCCAAGCCGACCACTTGCTGCCGGGCAAACTCATCCAAATTCTCCGTGGTCGGTGGACTTGTCGTAGTTCACGTAGCCGGGACCACGTCTCGCGCTGGTACAAGTCGTAACCGTGCTGTAGGTCAACTCGTCGTGGTTTTAGCCCGTGCTCCTCGGCCGCCGCGGTCAGGAGAGCATGGGGACCGCAGGAGATTTCCCAGAGTCCTTCTCGGTCATGTAGGTGAAGACCCATCAGTAGATTCGCAGTCGTAGCCATCATCAAGGTAGACATGGCCATCACCTTCTTCGTCACGTAGAACGGCGCTTCAGACGCCGTGGGGTCTCCGCGGTTCTCCTTCATGCGTAGCCGCCCTGTGCCTCGTTCTCGTAGGCCTGGATCAGCTCCTCGTCGTCCTCCGGCACGGGCACCTCCCAGCTTGTTGTGGTAGTCGGGGACGTCATTGGTGCCGTCGGAGTCGTTGTCGAGGCTGCATGAAGTCTCGCCTCTCGAATGGCCTTGTTGAGAACCTCCTCGGCATTGATCTTGGCCTGCATGTGTCGGCATATCTGAGCTGTGGGCAAGACGTCGCCCATGAGTGGTTGAAGCTCGCTCAGCATCCGCTTGATCATGCCGGGGTTCTCCACCGTGGTGTGTTGAGAGCTCGACCCCTGACGAGGGGTGTAGAGGAGTCTCACGTTGCACACCGCACACACCACCCACTGGCCGTGCGCATTGGCCTGAGGAGCGCTCGCCGTGTGCTTCCCCCAGCATGGCCACTGACTTGTCTTGGCTCTCGGGTCGCGAACATCCATCTTCATGATGCGGCTGGGGTCTAGCGGTTTGGCCTTGTTCTTGGCTGTGGCCGCCTTTGCCTTGAGGCTCTCCACCATGATCTTCTCCACCTCGGGGTCGACCTTGGCTGCTTGCGAAGGCGCTGCCATGGTCCTGAAAGGAACGCGAAGGAGTCGTAGTCGGGGAATTAGGGGCAATCGGCCCGTCCATCTGAGCTGAAAGCGCTGCTGGGCATCGTGAGTGGTTGTAAAGCTGCCACATGCGTGCTCGACACTGCTCATCTTCACGCGCTTCCAAGTCATGATCACTGGCTTGCAGATCAAACCAAACGACGCCTAACTCCAGAAGAGCATGAGAACTGTGGGGAGACTGCGTGGTGGTAGAAGTTCGTACAACAACATGAGGATGTCCTTCATCACATCGAACACCTTTAGTTAAGTACTTCACGATGTCGAGAGTGTAGTGGCCCTTGTGGTTCACATCAAGCTTGAAGATTTCGGGTTTGGGTTCCGTAGTAAGCATGGCATAACCCTTCGCGAAATCTACCATCATTCCTGCCCCGCTACGACCCATAAAGTCCATGCCAATCAAGACTGGAACCAAGGCTGACTGTTCAAACCCAGACTGGTAGTACTCGGTTGGATTGGGCAATGTGTAAAGAGAAAACGAACGTGTAGTACCAGAGACTGAGCTTGACATATGAACACGACAAAGTGCTCGACCCCAGCGCCCGTTGCCGAAACGAAAGTATGGCCTCGCACCTTGGTCCAGTTCGATCTTGGCATTGCGGTCGTGAGACAACACTGCCGTAATCAGTCCTTGGACAACGGCATCGGGCGCGGCAGATGCCGTCGCTCCACTGTCCAACATTCCAACATGCGGCTTCACCTCAGGCTTGGAGAGCTCACTCGTCGCGGCTTCAAAGGCATCAGACAACTCCAGTCCGCCAACGAACATATCGCTGCTGTAGGCATTCACCTGGCGGAAGCCAACGGGGTCCTTGCCTTTGCCTTTGCCCTTGCTGTTCTTGCCCTTCCACATGGCCTGGAGGTGAAGGTCAGACCAGTAGCCTTTCTTGAACTTTCCTTTGCCCTTGCCCTTGCCGGTGTAGTACGCGTCCACATACTCTGGCCCGGAGTAGTCGTAGTCGGAGTAGAAGACACCCTTCTTGCCGTAGCCCTTGCCCTTTGGAAAACCAGAGGACCGTCCCAAGGGGCAGTCGCGGATCATGTGGTTTCCGCCGCAGTTGTAGCACTTCATGGGACCACCGAATCCGCGATCCTTGCGCAACTGTTGTGTGGCACGTTGCGCCTCCGTCCACGTCCGCTGGGCCTCAACGGCCAAGCTCTCCGCGATCTTCTCGGCCTTGGCCGCCTCCTTCAGCTTGGGGTCTTCGTCTTCAGGCTGATCGGCGACGACGGGCATCGCTTCCGGATTCCAGCCCTGAGCCTCGGCGGACCACCAGTAGTCCGAATCATCCCAAGCTTCCTCGCCCGCGTAGTAGCCCTCGTACCATCCAGGCTCTGACCATTGCCAGTCATCCTGCTCGTTGAAGAAGGCCTCGGTCTGCTCGGGGATCGGGTTGTCCATGAAGTTCAGGCTGTGGTGTCCTCCGCCGGGAGCTCGATGTCCAAGTAGCTGATCATCCCACAAGCTCTGGAGGGCAGCCGCCACCACCTCATAGTCCAGGGAGTTCTTCGTCGTTGACAAGATGTCTCGCTTCTCCTCCGCGGAGAGGCCTGCTGCTTGGAGCAGCCTCCAGCCCCGCAGCACTCCCATGATGAACGAGTCTGCGACTGTCATCTCGTTCACGGCCGGCTTGGCCGCAACAGGTGGAGTCACCGGCTGCAGCGGTCCCGGAAGCCGGGTCGTCGGAGATCCCTCTCCCACAGAGCGATGGCTTGGAGAGGATCCTGGTGCCGCGCTCGGCTGTCCTTGTTCGCCTGCGTCACGTCCTGGTACTCCATCAGCTTGCCCTTCAGGTACAGCAGAATCGTCATGAGGAGCTTCGCCGTTCTCGGTGGGCTCGTAGCCATCGTCGTAGTTCCACCAGCTCCAAGAGCCAGTCCACTCGTCATCATCCCACTCGCCATCGGAGGCCGGCAACCCAAAGTCACGCTGGTCTTGAGTCAGGCCTTCCTTCTCCTCATGAAGACGAATGATCGCCTCCACGAACTCCTCATGAACCAAGGTCTCCCGCACCAAGAAGTTCCCTATCGTCTCCGAGGGATTCCTTCGGAACGAGAAGTATTGCTGACAGATCGCCGCCGCATTCGGTAACGACTTCCTCACTAACGGCGAACCTGCCAGCTTCTGCAGGAGCACCTTCACGCCGTCCTTGCTGTCCAGCACCAATGTTGACCAAGACATGGCCAACAGCCTGGCCGGTCCTGCCAAGCGGGACAGAAGCTGAGCACCGCAGTATCGCCGCTTATGCACAGGCACTGATTGCACCCACCAGGCCACCTCTCTCGTGTACCGCCGCCATGAGCGGGCGGCACCATCCCAGGAGGGGACCGTCGCACGATCCTTCGAATCTGCCATGGAAAACTGAAAAAGGGCGGTTGCACCGCCGAAACAATTCGGAGAAAACCCACAGGCGATCGTCACCAGGGGGCGGCCGTTGATCGGGTAGTAGAAGCCGTCAATGACAAGGATCAAGGGCCTGGCAGCTGGTCTGGAGCACGGCCCTTGGATCGGCACGTGCTCCGCTACCAATGCAGCGGAGGTAGCTGCACTGGCGTTTGGGCTCTGCTTTCGAAAGGGGTTCCAGCTGTGATCACTACCTTCAGTCGCAAGACGAGCGCACACGCTCGGAGGTTTTATGCGCTCCACGCACAAGTAGCAATGGCTCTCGTCAGGCTAACGAAAAGGGGCCCCTTCATGAGCCTTCACATGCGTCGGCGAGTGCTGCTGACAAAACATCAAAGAACAAGTCACACTTGTTGCAGTTTCCCAGCACCGACGGACTTCAACACGCATGCGAGTAGCTCTGTCTGCCCGCACCGAAGAGCTCCTGCAAAGATAAAGGCGAGAACCTGCAGCTTCAGCGGCGAAGCCCCTCCCCGCCTCCAGATGCTCCAGGCCGCGTGGATTTTGTTGCACCCAGATAGACTGTTTATTCATCCGGCTCCTTTAGTTTTGGTGGCAAGCGACTATGCCAACGAGTTTTTCGTCGACATTCTTCCTGCGCTACCAACTTTGTTGTGGAGGCTAGAAGTCCGGAGTCGTGAGGGACCGGTGCATGATAGACTGCTAGAATCTGCTGTCTAGGGATGTGAAAACGGTGTGTCATCGCACACCTGCCAGTCCCAAACCTGCCACATCATCCTTCGTCCATATTGCCAAGCTGCTGATTCAGCATGCTCCAACGTTTAAGGCAGCCGACTGCCAGGTGAAGCGGCACTCGCAGCGGCGAGGCATCAGAATGACGAGCTCCAGGCATCAGAAGCGAGTCACAAGCCTTGAAAGCTCCTTCAGAGACGCGAAAATACATTCTGACTGAGTTTTTTGGTTCGCCTTCCCTGCCGTGCTGTATCCAGTAAAAGCTCAGCGGAAGGCGCGGATGCAGGGCGTCCTTCGTGTCAGCCCCAGTCAAGCGGTGTGTGTGCTTTCATGTGTCGCACCCGGGCTTGTTCGTGGCTCGGCTGATTGAGGTGACAACCTGGAGCTTCAGCGGCGCAGCCCTTCACCACCTGGTGCCGCCCATGCTGGGAGCTCGAAATCGTCGGTATGCACTTCGACGCAGGTGATGCCGCAAGGCAGAAGAACGAAGAGCTTCAGGCGCTGGCGGGGGGCATCAGAAAGTACATCGACTGGAGTGGAGTTTTTGCAGTGCGCTTGTTCTCCTGCTTCCGAACAGTCAAAGGCCGTAGTTGTGCTCCGCTGGCAATTCTGGCTACAGACCAAACAGTAGTAGCTTCAACATGCCAGCAGGTGACACGCTACTCTTGGGCTACTTCCTACGGAGCCCATACACAACGGCCATCCACACGGCGAGAAGGGTTTGAGCAAACCTGCTGACCTTACCAGTGATTGACAACCCTCCCCTTCAGACACGTCACACCCACCCTCTCTCTCAACCCGAGCCCTCGATGGCGGTTCGCCTGGCTGTTGGCGCAACTGTAGCCGGTCTCGCGGTCGTGGGCCTCATCGCGTCTTGGCGAGCACGAAGTGCAGAGAAGCAACAAAGCTGCGCGGTCTGTTCTTGGCCTATGAGGTCGCCTGGTACTTCCGGAAGGCTTTGTTCAACTGCCTCGGGGATATTTTCGGCTGCGCGCCCCAGAAGACCCATGCGGTGCAAAGCAAGGACCTGGAAGGAGGCCGGAGAGCGCAGGCGTAGGGCTATGCTGTGCTGCAATCGCAGACCAGACCTCATGTTCCGTCAGCCGCGGTCCGAAGGTTACCCCCCCGGCAATTTTCCTCACACAACTGCAGGTGCTATCCAGGTCAAGCCTACTGCGCAGGGCACCGTCATAGGTGCGCCGACCTTTTGTCAGCCGGTTGCATCACAGACCATAGTGTGATGGAAGCCTAGTCGAACAAGTAGCTTGTGCATGTATGGAAAACTGCACTGTAAGGATGCATTGGTCATGGTTTGGCAGATATTTCAGAAACCTTGCAGGCGTTGCACGACCCGGAACACAGCCTGCCGCGGCACCTATGTATCTTGTCTTTGTTTGGGATCTTCGCAACGTGAAGAGAAGGAAACATGAAGTGTATTGAATAGGACTTCCTGAAATCTGAGTGGATGCATCTGTTAGAGTTGCGTGATTGGGGTGCGTGCTGAAGCTGGACTCCGACCGACGCTAAACCCGAACAGTATGCCTGTCAGAGAGTGCCAGGATCGTGGTGGCAACGGATGATGCCAGCCGTGGAGAAGTAATGAACTATCAGACGCTGCGGGATGCCTGTGGGGGCCTGAACAGGCATCTAGACTTGAGGGGTGTTGGTATTTGGAACCACTACTGTCGCCCCTCATGGTGTCCTGCAGTGCGACAGCAAATCATAGCAGAGCGCTCAAGTAGCCCTTCCTAGCCGAGGTCTCAACTGGAATGCCGGGAACATCCTTGGCAAGGCCGATTCAGTTTCTGGCTCTCTTTTCACTTGTCCGTCTCGCCTCTCGCAGTTGCTGCAAGCATGCCTATTACCCACAGGGGGCGGCATCCACGGTCTACCGCGGCTCGCTACCAAGGTGGGTGAAAAGCCACTACCGCTACCCCTACCGCTACCCCTGCATCCTCACAACCGCTATCACTGCCGCTGCTGCTGCTCCTCCTCCGCCTACTACCACGACGACTACCACCTGCTGCTGCGGCCGCTTTCCGTCTGACCAACAAACGTCCACGGTGTCGCCCCTCTATGAGTGAAAGCGGCGACAGTCTGGGCGCGCGTGTGGTTTGTTGACAAGATGTTGTCGTGTTCATGTCGCCTCTGCCATGCAAAGCACTGCAGCGGGCCCTTCTGTTGGGCTGTAGGCATGCTCTGTCTCCCTCTCTCTCTCTCTCTCTCTCTCTCTCTCTTGCTTGCACAGGTTTGGCAGTGTGGCCGTGAAGCGCTTCCACAGCGACCCCGCTGGTCTGCCAGCCAATCTTTTGCCGTCTTCCCCAGATTGCATGGTGGCACAGAGCGAGCCAGGTGGCATGCCTTACAACTTCGACCGAGAGCTGGCGGCCCGATGCATTGGTGCTGAAGATTTGCATCGACAACACCACAGACTCTTCTAAACTCTTTCTAGGAGGTATTCTGCCCAGGATTTCCAGGAAGACAGACCTCTCCCTTCCGAGGAAGCACTTTGTCAGTGCCGTCATCCGCACATCCTCGAGATTCTCGGGAGATCGCAAACAGGACAGGTAAACTGCTACTGTGTTGCGAGAAATATGAGATACACGGCGAATCATGAGCCAAATACCAACTTGTAGGAGGGGTCCTGCATCCCTGCCCATGAAGAGATTAACGAGAATAATGATTAGCAACCTGCAGCAAGACTGGAAGCCGGCGCAAACATCTGCAAACGCAGATCAGCAGGACCAGAGCAGCTCATTGTCATGCAACTCGGCATTGGATGGTGGCAAGCCTGGTGCGCAGTCTGTCGCAGCCCCCGTCCGTGCACAGCTGTATGTTCCTTCCACATGAGCTTTCAATGAGCTACGGTGTGCAATCTACGGCATATACGATGACTTGAATCGAGTCTGACTAGTCGATGTCTCCTGCCCTGAGGCCCCTGATGGAGGGTGGCACCCTGGCATCAGCCTTGGGTTCCATGGCCTGGGCGGCTAGGGCCACCTGCTTCAGCCAGTGCGGGTCCCAGTGTACAGGCTTTTGCCCTCGGAGTCCGGAGAAACTCTGAAAGATGCCAGCATCCACGTGCTCACGCATGTCGATCGAAGATGTTAGTGTGCTGGTCTCAGGATAGTCAGAGCCGTGTCTTTCCTACACGGGAAGAAGATGGTTCACCGTGACATCAAAAGCTCGCGTCTTACCAGTACATTTGCTGGAGAGCGTGCGGTTTAACTCACGGGGACCATGCCTGTGAACGTCACACAACCGCCATGACGCGCAAGCCGTGCAGATCTCGCTCGAGGCAGCAACATCCTCATGGATGGAGCCTTGCGCCATGCGCGCCTTGCAGACTTTGGCCTCGCGAAGGACCAGGCATTCAACATTCCAGCCTTGATTTGTCTTGCGATTTCATGTTTTCCCGCTGTGTGAGCAGCGAGACTGCGGCAGATGCAGAGAGCGCCTGTTTGAACATGCCTTCATGTAGGTGAAGGGATCCAGAACGCACGGCACCACCGGCATTGTGGTTGCCTGGCTTCCTTGACCCAGTCTCTTGAAAGCGAAGCGACGCCGGATCCGAGGTTGGCTCTCCTGGCTACATGGCACCCGAGCTGATGATGCGTCCGGCCAACGATCCTTGACAGACGAAGCGCCTTGAAGCCTCGTGGCAAGTCGTCCTGCATCTGACAAGCTGCTGGATGTGCTCCCATCCTCTGAGGAAAAGACGGATGCATTTGCCCTCGGAGTGGTGGCGTGCGAAGCTCAAACAGGGAGGGGGAGACTTTCGATTGCGATAACAGCGGGTCTTGTCACTGGTGGCATGCGAACGAAGTCCGCTCTTGGCTCTGTTTTGAGCTCCAGAGACAAGGTTGGAGATCCTCACAGGCCTGCCTGCCTGGAATGAGGACAGACGGTCAGTAGTTAAGGAATCAGGAGTCGACGCAAGAAGCGAGCCCTATCCGCCAGGACAGAGAGACGGTTGCCGGTAGCTTAGCATCGTTGCTTGGCATAGTCCAAGTGCGGCCATCCGCCTCGAGTCGGGATCAAGGCTTTGAACGATTACGCGGTGTCCGACAACAAGTTCCAGGCGCGACGCAGTCCTGTCTGGACACGTCTCTTGCCTCCTCCTGGCCTTGGCCACGATAACACGCTTGCACACAGTCACCGAGCCTGTGCCCCGGCCTCCGAACGTCCTTTTCTCCAGGAGTTCCTGGTGGATGCGAAGGCATCCTGGCCTCCGGCGGAGGCGGGCTACTGTGCTGTAGTGAGCCGTGTCAAGAAGCAGGCGGTAGTATTATGTGTTGTTGTGCTGTTTCTCGACATGCCCCTTCTCGGCCCTTGCTTGTGAGGTCGGGGCTTTGGGGGACCATGCTGTCTGGGGCACAGAGATATCCGTGCACGCCTGTGCGGAGACTGTGCAAAATTCTCATACTGGCCGGAGGTCAAGCTCACCTATTTCGATCCCAACCAACGTCAGAAAGTCTCTGACATGGAGCAGTCGAACTCGTTTCAGGCGCACTTCCAAAGGGTCAGCCACATGACTTGCAAACTTGTGGCGGATGATGTTCATGCATCGTCTAAGCATGCTGGAGACGAACGACGAAGTCTAGCTTGTTATCGGATTGTTCCGCCATGTTTAAGAAGTGCTAACAGACGCTTACAGTGCTCAAGCAACACTGCAAGAAAGAGTTTCACTGTGCAGGAGCATGTGCAGAGATCTGAGCAGGCGCTGCGCTAAGTGCTGGCAGGACAGCCCACATCAGCCCACTGCCAAGACCTGTAAGCAGGGCGCACTGGCATGTCAACAAAAGAACCGAAATGGGCCCACATGAATGGCTTCTGCATCAGCCATTCTGCACTCTTGTTTCACGACGAGCTGTGTTTTGCGTTTGACCCTGGCTGCCTGCGAGGAGTCGTGCACTTGCTCGGTTTCAGCTGCGGGGCTGCGCCGGACGAGCGTGTGCCCGCAGCTTGCTGGGAGGTGCAAAAGTGTTCCCCACTCGCTTGTATTTCCCGGCGGCTGAGCCATTTCGTTGCCTTAGTTATCGCAGCCCGTTTTAAAACTTGAAGTACCCGTGACAGCACGTGCCTGCGAGCTATTCAGTTATTCACACGGCCCAGCCGACTCAGCACACTATATGTCCCACACCAGGACGAGGTTTGCAGGCGACTAAAGCTCCAGGCGAGAAGCAGGGCACTGAGCTTACCTTAAGCAATGCCAAGTCCAGCACAGAAGTCTTCCTGTGCACGTGCTACCCGGGTCATGACGACGAGGGGTCGAGGAGTCATGGTTTGCCAGCTCCAGTTGAGCTCAAATCGTCGTACAAAATTGGCTCATGGCTCATAGCAGAGCAGGCATCTAAGGCCAAGCTTCCTGGGGCTTGGCAAGAGAGCCCTCCTCGCAATCACAACAGAGGTGCTGCTACTCAGCCTGCATATGTCACCGTGCACGGATGTTTCTGTGGCATCTCTTCGGCAGTCCTTCTCGGCTTCGTGCCAGCTGCGCATGAGCTTGCCGTAGAAGCAGAAGAGCACTGCTCCAGTCTGTTCGACGATATTACTCGAAAGTACGCTTCAGGCATCGTGGACTCAATAGTGCGATGAAGTATAGCTTACATTCCTTGGTGAGGGTTCGCGTGCATGGACGGCACATGTCGTGTATTCTGCGGCGGCTCCATGAAATGGACTGCTGCAAAGTTTATTTTGCTGTGGGCGACACAGCTCATGAAGGCGTCAGGTGGGAGTTGTTCTAAACGGATCACCGACTCAAGTGCAGTGTCCCTGCATGCTTCGATCGAACTCCCGTTTCAATATGTACCTAGCAGGCAAGCCCAGTTTGGAACAACTCATAGGTGCATTCCCTCGCAAATTGTGTTCTGCCTGCTCTCCACTTTGAAGGTTTGCAGAGCTTCAAGCTGTTGAGGACTGAATGTGAGGGACAGTCTCTAGTTCGATAGAGAGATGCAGACGGCTGGATGCACAGCAGTATTTCGATGAGGGCAGCCGAGGTTGTACAGGAGATACCAGACGCTCCAGCCCTATGAAAAGTCGGAGCATCACCATGCAGCGGGTAGGATCAGACAGCAATCCTCAGGGCTCCTGCTTCTGCAGGCGCGATGCTTCGATCTGATTCAAGAGAATGTGCCGGACTCAGCTAGCAATGTGGAGGTACCAAACGGACCACTAAGGAGAGCGGGGCGTTCAAAACCACGTTAGAAGTCCCAAACCACGTCCATGGATTCCATGCTATGAGTAGAGGCCTGGAGCGTAAACTCGTAATTCGCAAACACATCCCATACTATTACCTCAAATCCGATCCGGTGCATCTTCGAGGATGCCTTGCGACAGCAGCTGGCCGAACGGGCTCGGGCCCCGCCCCTGGCGGAATTTCGGCTGGATGGTAGCTAGTCGCTAGCTTGAATCATTCATGTCTTCGTTCTTGTTTGTGCAGGGTCGTCTTCTTGCGCATGTTGTGTTAATGCGTGTATATACACAGTCACTTATATTGATGTGTATATATATATATATACATATAGATACATAAGCACACAATACCTGAGTATGAGTCGAAGTCAGGGCGGCGGGGGTTATGCTGAAAGAGACTGCCCCACACAGTTTTCGAAAGGCCTCGAAACCAAAAGAAGGATAATGGCAACGGCAAGATTAGTTATTTGCATGGACGTCGCACTAACTGCTGCCAGAACTCGATGTGATTGCAATCCTCAAAGCTCTCGTGAAATATTGCTTGGTCTGTGAAGAATTCGGCCCAGGACGGCTCGCCTCATCGCCCTCGGCGTCCTGCCGCAGAGGATGGGCTGTAGCCTGATACAACAAACATGTATAGGATATTAGGACATCATGTAACATACTGACATAATACAGAGGTTGTCGCTATGTTGCGGTGAGTTATGTTGAGGGGGAGCCGCGGTTGCAGGCTCTTCGCTTGGCATTGCAGCGACAAGAACTGAGCCTCGTGAAGCTGCTGACGGGCCTGGATCCGCAGATGCCTGGGAGCCCAAACCTTTTTTTCGGTTTTCGCTTTGCAACAGCCCTGGGCCTGACGGGCAAGAAACAGCGAATTGCCCCCTCAAGCGCCCCCTTCTGAGGCACGGCAAGGTCTCTTTCGAAGCCTTCCAAGCAGCATGCAGTCGCCACCACTTGAGTCTGCAGGCCGACTGCACAACCGCGCCTTGCGTCGTTGCTTGCGTATGCTCGCGTCGTGGTGATGTTAGTCCATCCACAGGCCGACGACTTTGGCAAGCTGGCCAACGTTCTCAATCTGGACAAGCGAGGCTTCTTTCACAAGGAGGCACCGCAAACCAGCTGCACGAAGCCCTTTTGCCCTCGTACAAGTGTAGCTGAGCGTGGTGGCATCGAAGTCGGCAGGCGCTGTGCAATGCACCCATAGCCATAGCCGTAGCCACCGTAGCCAGGTCTTAGAAGGAAAGTGCGGTCCGGCGATCATAGTCTCCGAAAGAGTGCTGCCGACCCGAGCGAGGCTCTCTTGCGAGCCTTCCGCAGAGCAGAAGAGGTCTGGGCTCCGGGCGTCTCTGTGCAGTTTCGTGAACTGAAGACCAAGCCGGGGGTTTTAGCATGTCATCTGATTCTCACTTCGTCAAATCTCCACAGTTTTGCCTTGGCATGTCTTGGCAGCCGAGCCGAGTCTAAAGGTCGCCTCCCCTCCTCGCGGTCGCAAGGCGCGAAGAGCATGCTTCATAAACAGCAGCGATGGCAAGAAACGCCCCAAGTGTAGATCTGTGCAGCGCGTGATATATGGTACACTGAGCATGGTGCGGATGACGGGCTCTTCCGTTCCTGCGGCTTCGCAGGCTTCGGATGGCCCGAGCCACACACAAAGCCGCGCGTGCAGCGGCTCCCGTGAGGCGGAGTGCAAAGAAAGCAAAAAGCATAAGGAGGCAAGTCTCGAGAGTCAGGAGACAACCATCTTCATGGCAGTGGTCTTACCCTAGGTCCTAGGTTCTTTCTGTTGGCAGTGGAAATGTAACCGGGCATCATATTATACACCGGCGTGAAAACATACTAGCAGCGGCAGTACCAGGAAGGAGTAGGAGAAGGAGTAGTAGTAGCAGCAGCAGCAGCAGCAGTAGCAGTAGTAGTAGTAGTAGTAGTAGTAGTAGTAGTAGCAAAAACCAGATAAAACCAGTAACAATACCAGCTGTCGTTGTTGCATCCGTCCTCGTCGCCCAGGTCGTCTCCATTGCACTTGTGTGTAGCACACGAGCAACATGCAAACACAGTACGGAGAAGAGCCTACTGTTCCGGAGCGCGGGGTGAGATTCAGAGCTTAGGGTTGCAAATCTGGGTTAGTGAACGGCACTGCAAGCACCTGGCTCAGAGTTTTTCGAGAATGAGGGCAATACGTGCATCACCGGAACCACCGGGAGAAGGACTCGTGGCGAAAAATGGCTTTGACTAGCCGTCTGGACCTCTGACGCAGGTGCACGTGCAGCAGGGTCTTGGCCCTGTGGAGGTGCATCCGTACAGTTGTGGACATCAATAACACTTGGATGTGTGTGCCGTATCCGAACCTCCCTGGCCAGGATTTGCAAAATCGTAGTCGTAGTTCGATCCCGTTCGTGTAGCACACACTGCCGCTGCGCCGCGTTGGGGTTGAAGTCTGTTTCGTTTGCGCAGGTCCAGCATCGCCGCCAGATAGAGCGCCTGGAGTGCAGTGCTCAGACGGGATCGAGGTTTGCATCCTCCAGTATGCTGCTTGCTGAATGAAATCTGTGGAGAACCCTCCTTTCTAGCCACAAATGAAAAATCATGAATTTCCATTAGTATGTAGATCGCTTGCTCTTTACTTTAGTTGCGTTTGTGCCTGTGGAAAAAGTAGATTCAGTAGATAATGTGGGACAGCTTATCACCTACTACCTGCGCATTGTTGTCGATGCAGGATGATGTCCGATGTCATCCTTTGACCTGACCTGTTTTTCATGGTGGCGTGACCAGAGGGCAGAGCTGCACGACTTCGTGGCAATCTCTCTCCAGATGGGCAGAACATGCAGTCGAGTCGTCCATGAAAAGCAAAGGAGGTTATGCCATCGTGATGTTTGGAATAGCCGTCCCAGCTACAAGCATATCCGTTGGATGCCGTATCACTTGAACACGGTACCCGTAACAACGCTGGAGATATGCTCAGCACATAGCTTCCTCGAGCTTCGAAATTTAGGGGCAAGTAGAAGTTAACCCTGTGCCGCCATGTGGCATGCGCATCGAAGCTCGGATGACGAACAGCTCTGAGTCGAAATGGCGGACCGAAGTGGAAGCGAGCTTCGTCAAAGCCTGGCCCGTGTTCATCACTGCCTGCCTCTTCAATATCGTTTTTACTTTGAGGTGGCTTGAAAGGAACTCGACAGGGTGTCTTGCGGTTCGGGCGCCTGGGATTGGTGCCCAAGGCACTAGCGATGCCCTGGTGCTGCCGTTGTGGCCAGAACCTGGATCTCCCTTCTCACAGTCATAGTCATACCCTAGGCCTGAGAAGCGCCAGGGGGGCCCCCCCAATACTTCCAGCAATGGATGTCTATAGCAGGAAGTTCGAACTTCCCTGAAGATTGTGGCAAATCTTGGCCTCGACAGCAAACCCAACATACCGGGTCCTCAGGCACATGTTGATGGATCCGGTGCTGCGCTCCTTCATCAAGTGCGACGAAGCTGGCGGCGAGGTCTTCTCAGGCCCACCTGGAGTGAGGCCTGGTGTGTGAAAGGTCGGGCCCCCCTCCCACGGTCGCGAGGCAGCTCCTTCTGTGGTGACAAGAAGTACGTCGTGCAGTCTGCCGTGAGACAGTCAGCCATGCTGTCCGCCACTGAAGGCTGGAGAGCTTCCGAAGGTTTTGCACTCAACAGCTCAATACTGGACCTCAGAGCACAGGCCTTCACTCCAAAGGCCTTTGAGAGACCTTCTGCGATGTCCCACCCCCTGCCCGAACGCGCGCAGGGTATGCAACTGGTGTATGCCAGCATGTGGCACGCAGCCCTTGCATTGTGCTGGGGACACTTGCTAGGACCAGGATACTACTGCTAGGAGAGAGTGCTGATGAATTGCTACCAAGTCGGTTCTGAAGCATCGCTGTGAATCTCGCTCTTGCCAGGCATCATGAGCATGTTCGTGGTTCCAGTGATTGGGGCAGTCAGTGACCGACATGGTCGGCTGCCTGCTTTGCGCACTAGCATCTTGGCCACGTTTCTGTCGCTCGGTCCGCATGCTACGGTAGCCAGTGTGCACCTTCGGCGACATAGACGTAAACAAAATGAGCGACATTGGCGCGAGTCCTCGAAAGCTGAGGTTTCTCCTCCTCAATTTGGTTAGCCAGGATGTCATTGCGTTGAGGTTTCTTGCGTTTGCCTGTTCCAGCGCCTCTGCCGCCTTCTTCCCAACATTCCATGCAATCCTCGGAGACTGCGGTGGAAATCGGAGTGTTTCGTTCACAGTAAAGATCATCTTTGCGAATGCCGGGCAGCTGATTGGATGGATTGTTGGTGTGGCGATCTTGCGACAAGAGTTCGTGGACTACACCTTCATGTGGGTGGCTCTGCTCACAATCTTTTCCTTTGGGTCAGTGGTCGCCTGTCGCATTGAGGAGTCTCGACCTGTGGGCCTGAATCCTGCATCTTCCTCTCTAAACGTCTTTGCAGCGCTATACTTCGCGATACAGAACCCGTTCTTACTGCGGTGGTGCATTGCGAAGTTCCTGGCGTTGTTCGGGCTTAGTGTGATGTCGCTTCTGAAAAGCTTTGTGCTGTCAGCCTATGACTGGCGCCAGGGAACCCTAGAAGGAGCTATGGGAGTCTTCTTCATGATAAGTGCGACGTCCACCCTAGCAGGCCCTTGGTTCGTCGACAGGTACTCTGTAGAGACGGTCGTGGAACGATGCACCCTGATGGGGGCAATTTCCCTTTCCATGCTGCTCTTCGCGCCCTGGGGATCCCTGTTCTGCGCGGTGGCCGCCTTTTTGCAAGCCGCCGGCGCCTGCACCATCGCTGCTTCCTCGGCTTTACTGGCGGAGCGATTCACAGAGGATCAGGGAAAGGCCCAGTCGGTGGTGGTTGCCATAGCTGGAGGGGCTTCCAACCTGGGAAGTCTGCTTTACTCCTCCCTCTACGATGCCAAGGCAGAGGGCATTAGCCAAGCCCAGCCCTTTGCAGTTGCCATGGTCATGGGCTGGGCGGCCTATTGCACTCTTCTCTCGGCACTGGCAAGCCCATCACCCATGCCCGGCAGGCAGATCGCAATACAGGTTGAAGAGACCCGACTGTTCCAGCCCGACGACCCAAAGAGCGTCGTCATGGGAAGGCGCCACAGTTTCGATCTGGAGGAAGGCGGCTTTCTCTAAAAAAGTCCTGCAACCAGGCAGCTCATGGCCGTAACTGCATAATATGGCCTAGTCCGACCGCAGTCTATCCTGACACGAGGTCGAGGCTGTTCGCGTCCGAGCAGGCCGCAGAGTAGACATGAAATCATGAAGCATCAGGGCTTATCCGCCATCGAGATCACAAGTGAGCCGCAGAGACTCTCTTAGCACTAAGGATGGAGAGCCTCAGAGAGAAATCCATATGACCGCTCGATGTCCTCGAACGCAGTTTCCAAGCATGAGCATGCATCATGTCGGGTCGTGACCGACGTAGCGGCATGTAAGTCAGCGATCATTCACATTGCACTGCCTGTTTTGCATCTTGCGGGCGATTGCGCAGTATTTAATTTGGCATGCAGTTAACGAATGAGCGGAAACTCTTGGCTCCAGTCTCCAGTAGGGTCTTCGTAGAATCCAGCATTCACCCGTCTCCGGCAAGGAGCGGCAGACCCTTCAGCGGGACTTGGATGCCATGCGCCGGCAGGAGCGGATCCGTTAGACCAGAACACCTCCAACCACAGGGGTGCTCAAAACGCAAATCCTGCAAGTGTGAAACAGTTCACAGTTCAGTGTGCTTAAAGCATGCAATCTGCCAGAAGGCCCACGAAGTTGGCAAAAGCGTGCGCTGCACGGTATAGGGTCAGGGTCAGATGTCTTGACAAGGAGTCGGCTCGCGAAGATGCTCTTCAGAAGCCCAGGCTGAAGTGGAGCCTTATTGCCACTGCAGTGCAGTTGTCTTGTGATTGCTGAATTACCGAATTGCAGATGAGCCCATTTCAAGCGGCATCAAGTGGCAGGCCTTTGTCCGTCCTTCTCTCTGCCGGCGACACTGCGCCTCCGTTTATCAAGGCGATTCGTTGTTGCAATACTGCAGCCACATGTAGTCACGCGAGTCTCCGAGGGTCCAGGTGGACCTTGCATCGTAACAGTTACGACTTCTGAACAAGCTGCCAGATGCTTGAATTGCTGTTTCTGAGCCAGGAGCTCAAGTTGGAAGTCAAAGGAACCCGTGAGGCATGGAAACATCATGGCATATTGCATGCACGGTTGTCCTCATTGCCGAGGTAGACTGTCTTGTGGCTGTCGATGCTGGGGTAGGAGCTGCAGAAACACACAAGACTGTGCCTTCGACAGCTCCGCGACAAGCTCTACAATGCAGAGACGCAGCTGGAAAGCTACAAGCGCAGGTTGGAGGCGTGCTCCGTTTCGAGCCACGCAAGTCCCAGCGGGACAACCCTAAACTTCCGGAGCCCCAAACAGCCTTACTGAACGCTGCTTCCCGTCTTTTGGGTTCTGGGCTTTAGGGTTGGGAGGGTTTCGAAACTTGGGGGGTCAGGGTCGGGCGCTTTAGCCTGAAGCGGATGGAGCCTCAGAGCTCCCAAGTCCTAATTAGTGCATATCCCGTGCAGTTGCTTGAACGCAGCAGTGACTGAGCCTGCATTGGGCCGAAATCTCGGCACAAGCGTGAAGTTGTGTTGGGGCGTGAGAGGAAAGGTTCAGGTGGCAAGTGTTCGCCTCGTTGCAAGTCTGCTAAGACGTATCAGATAAGCGATGACATGACTGACCTACTTCTACATTCTTCTTATATATTGTAACCAGCGATGGAGGGATGCAAAGGTCGAACTCGATATCATCATGCGTAGGCGTATATACTTACCGCACACATACGTTCGCATATACGTAAGTTAAATAACTAGTTACAGACCACATACACGCACATTATGTAGCAATTCCTGTATACCTGTATGTAATGCAATTAACATTAGCCTGCTTGGCATGTTCAGTTCCAGTGACTCGACTTCGGTGTAAGTTCACGCCATCCTTTTCCTTGGCCCATGTCTACGCTTCCGGATGCCATTAAATTAGCCTGTACGATTCTTTCACATGCTGCCTGCTTCAGGTGGATGCACGGCAGGAGCTGGAGAAGGTGAGGGCAGAGAGTCAGAAAAAAACCTTATCTAAAAGCAAAACATCGCTTGACCTTCGCCCTCACAGGAGCGGCATGTGGTCAAGCAACTGCAGGCCGAGCTGGAGGACGGGAGTTCAGGTCGATTAGTGTTTGTATACCGTCTGAAGAAGGTTGGCGTTGAGAGGAAGGCGGGGTGTAATTAACCGGGCTGGTGACGGCTACAGAAGCAGGAGAAGGAGCGAACCGTTGCCGAGCTCCTTTTCGACCTCCGACGAGCCAGGAACGCGTCCGGCAGTGGCCCCAGGGCAGATACGTTTGCTATTGATGCGGTTGACAGGAATTTGGAGATCCTTTGGCAGCTGGATCTGCAAGGCTAATTAGTGGCGATCGGAAAAGGGAGCCGCCACACGTGGGAAAGAAGTGCGCCACCGTGTTCATAATGGTCCAATACAGTCATAATACAGTTTTCATCCCAGATATTTGTCGAAGTGGCCACCCATGAAGCTCTGTGATTGTCACGGAATTGGACGTGCTTCTCATTGGCTGAGGCGAGGGAGACTGGGCCCAGCGGGAAGAGGAAGCTTGAGCCGAAAACATGTCACATGTCTTACGCTGCTGATTCGCTCACTGTCGGGGACATTCGGTCCGGAAGAATGCAGAGTGTCCAGAATCGCACAGTGCTAGGAGTACATGCGGCTGGACCTGCAGTTGCGCAAGTCTGGGTCCCAAGACCACCTCCTCATCTTGCAGCAGCAGTTGTCACGGAAGCCTCAAACCGCCAAATCGAGCGAGGCTCGAAGGAGAGTTGGCTGCCTCCCGTCGTGCGGAGCGTGACATGGCGGACAGGTGCGCCCGAGATTCTTGGTTGTCATCGCTTGCGGAGGGCGTTGAGTTTCAATCCTGCTCGTGGAGGCTGCTTCAAGCCGAGCACGTGGCGATGGAGTTGCGCTTCGACCGTGAGCAGGTGGAAACACATCTGGAGGGGCAAGCTGTCGAGCTCGCGACTGGTGCGCGAGAAAGGTTCACCTACGCAGCTCTCGGCTGGAAAGTCGCGTCGTACACTGAGCTTCTGGCAATACCGTGAGGCTTTCGTTGAATCAAGAGGTATCTGATTGCACTGGTGGTAGAAGGTCAAGTCCCGTGGTGAGGCTTTCTGACACGAGAAGAAGTATCGTTTCCATCGTTTGCGATCAGAAAGCATGCAATCCGTGCTGCAGTACTTTCTCAGATACTGGAGTTGGAACTGCTCAACGGCGAGGACTCGCCAAGGAGATCTTTGCGATAGGGGTTCTGAGGGCCGCGGAGTCGAGCACTTTAAACTCTTCCGGATTCCCTGGAACAGGCAGCGACAGTCTCCGCTCAAGACCGGTGCAGGGGCAGGGCCCTCAGCTGGTGAAGGAAAGCTTATGGGCTCCTTTAAATCTCGATGGCCGCAAGTGACCGCAAGGCAGCGGCGGCCAACCTTCAGAGCCGAAAGGACCGTCGTCGGATCCACTGGGCTTCATTTTTGCCTCTTTTTGCGCACATTCCTAGGAGCGCAATCTGGAGAACGTGATCGAAGGGCTTGAGTGCAGCTGCCACAAGTTGCAACGGCGGCGTTTGCTGTGCATTCCGTGTGGCGGCGTGACCAGTAAACTAAGTAAACTGAATGGACGACCCTTACAGCTGAAAGAAAGAGAAGGTATGTATGGTAGTTACGACATGCCCACACCTGAGAGGAGTCGCATTCGCATCTTTGTCATGTGCAAGTTTACCTCGACTGTCTATGCACAGCATCCGCGAAGCCAATGCCAGGCGTGTAGTGAATCAGCAGAAGGCGGAGAATCAGCGGTTGAAGGTCGCGCTCGACAGGCGATGGGCTGCTATCCTTATAGCGCAGGGCTTGCATGTCGGAGCCTCTCTGGTAGGCGCCCCGACGACCGCCGCGGGCGTGGCCGTGCAGAAGTGGAGCGTTTGAGGAAGCGGATAGAGGACGCTCGAAGCGGCACAGAGTGTTTGCTTCTTCTTCCAGTAGTGGTGTGTAGGTGTCAGCTGATTTGTGTTCAGAGAGGTATCGGCCACGGAGCTCGTCGATTAGGGATTCGGGGCCGGGGCACAACTCGAAAGGGCTTCACCGTCGGAGTCCGAGGAGCTGGAATCAGCCCCTCCGCGCTCACAGGCCGGCATGTGACTGGTTTGTGCTGTCCCGTAGGCCTTGGGCGGGCTCCCGGACTGCTCAGACATCTCTGTGAGACTTCCCTTGAACGTGCGATGTAACGGCCAGGACAGCGGCAACATGTCCGCTGAAGGTGAGGGGTGTTTCCGTGAGTGCTTGTCGAAGCACGCGCGAATCCTTAAGGTCCGGTGCTGGAAGCCTACAGACGAGAAGTTGCCGCCAAGGCATGCGGCCGAGCCAACAGCCCGCATAGACTACGAAGATTCTATCTATCTATCTATCTACGTATCTATATACATACTAGTGTATGATAAGTCTTACGACACTTATCATGTGGCCCATATATGCTATCACGTGCCTTTTGAATGCTCCTCTCTCTTCGCCGCCGAAGGAGGAGGTGATCCAGAAGCTTCAGGAGAAGCTCCGCGAGGCCGCCGAGGCCGAGCTCGCCAAAGCTCCGAGCCACGAATGGAGAAATCGCACCCAACAATAGGGCTCGCGGAAGCCACGAGACCACTTAGAGGCCGCCCAGACGGCTCACACAGCAATGAGCTGTGGTGGCAACAGACAACAATATCAACGACAAAGACGTGAGCTTGAACAACAGCAGCAGCTGCTGCAGCAGCCACCGCAAAGGAAACAACAAGCAAAAGAACACAACAGCAACGACGACAGCACCAGACATTCACGTGCCAGAGAAAAAGTAGAGACTAGAGCGCATGGTTTTGCCGGGATGTCTTTGTTTCTTTCAGAATGACCCTCTAGAAGCAATGCCGATTTCACCGAGTCTTTGTCTAGCTGCCAGGGGCCAGGAACGGAGCCTCCGGAGATGCAGCGATTGCTTCAGGACGGAACGCAGCGAGTGAAAGTAGTGCTTGCTTTCGATCTCCTCGGTATGCGCCGGCAGTGGCATGGATTTAAACAGGAAGTTTAGGCTCATTTTCGGCCCCTGCTAGGCAGTGCAACCTAGCTTTGGAGTTTAACTTGCTGAGCCGTGCTGCGCACCCTCTTGTCCGACCCGACATTGGTGGCCTTATTCGCGGCCTGTGCCAACAATTCGCAAAGTGACGTGTCTTCAGGAGTTGGCCGAGCTGCGCCGTGCGAGAGGCAATTGCCTGATCAAGCTGCGTGACTGAGTACAAATTCCTTCATACGTTTTAGCAGTAATCATAAAGGTGCATGGAGTTGCTCGCAATGCTGTTCGCAGTGGGCAGGGGCGGACCGCCTGGGAGGGAAACACCCACGGCTCAAGCAATACAGACACATGTGACTCATATCCGCAGGTTTTTAACATGACTCGCTCCGTGGAGCTTGGAACTGTTTTGGGTATTTTTCGCAGCTTCAGCTGTCGGCGCCTTGCTTGCACTTCCACACCACACTACAAGTCCACCAGCTCAGTGCTGCAGGATCTGTAGCAATTGGTGACAAGCAATCACTCCAAGCAAAGCTACCATGTGTGTCAACTGTGCAGAGCAACCGAGCCTGAAGGACGTCTGAGAGCCCAACAGCTCCGGCAGTGCCATGCTGCAAATCTTCACACGGCATGAGACCGACTGGGATTCAACCTTGAGTTTTGCCCCAGGCATGAACAAGCTCAACAGCTTAACTAGCAGAGTGAAGCGAGCGACGAAACTCTTAAGTGGACTTGCAAGTCTGCAAGTCAGATGAAACGAAAATCCGAACCAAGAACAAGAAGAGACTCAGAGAAAGACTCTCTGTGAGTCTCTCTCTCTCTCTCTCTCTGCCTTTGAAAGCGACGAAGCCCCATTTATCGCTCCGCAGGCGAAGATGGCCAGGCCCTGGACGAAGCGCAGCGCGCCCTCCAGGAGGTCCCCCCCCCACAGAGACAGTGTGCCCTTTCAAGATGCCACAACAAAAAGGGGAGGAAAGGGGAAGCGGCGTTGTGCTGCTTTCGCCGACGGACGGCATGACGTCGCGCGCCCCAGGCACTAAAGCTTGTCACTAAAGCAGAAGCAGGAAACCAATCCTTTTCAGCCTTTCGAGCCTTGTTCGAAACATTAGATAGACTTCAGGCAGTAGAATCGCTTGAGGTCGCCTCTAGATGAGGTTTGTACTGCACCCGGGAAGCCTTGTTTGATCCATGATTCCAGAAACCTGTACGGACATTCTGCGATCCAGTGATGTTGTGTGAATTGTCCGGGCTGATGACCCGATACCGAGCCAGGCTGAGATGACAGAGAAGCGCTACTTGGAGGCCTTTCGTTTGGTATTACGGCGATTATTACGGTATAAGCATTCATGGTTCCTTGCGGGAACTACAACTAGAGCATTCCACGAGGCACATTCCCGAAGTCCTGTTGTCCTCGCCACAGTCTCTGGTCTCAAAATGTGATCTCGAAGCCATCTTTCGCCCACAGCCCTTCCCTAGCCAAGCTTCATGGCGGACTGACATTGTAGGGTTGTCATCGAGTGCATCGGTGGTTTGGTGCAGCAAGATAAATGGCAATACTTGTCATAATGTCTATCCTCTGCAGCAAGACTGAATTTAAACCAAAAATGATAGAGTTGATACGTACAGTCCGGCATGACCCTGAACATGATGCCTAGTTGGCAGAGTGTAGTCATGCAGGATCTCTGGCATCAACCGTACGAGTGTCCTGAATTGTGTGACATCGGCAGCGCTTGCACCACAGAAGTGCTTTTCTCGCCAACTCTTGCGAGCATCATCCCAGCGGCTGTAGCATGCCGAGCACCAAAGTCTCGTCGCCCCAATCCCACGAGCAAAACAACTTCAGTTTCTGTTTCAGTTGCATTTTCCTGGCAGGTCGTCCGTGAAAATCGCAAACTTCGACAGGACCTGTCGGCACTGGAGGATGATGGTTTCTGGAAGGACCAAACGTGGGGTGCTGCGCCGGTTGTAGCATGCGCTGACAGCATGTCATACCTCTGCTGCATCATGGCCGGCCGCTCGTGCTCGATTTGTGGAGGAGATAGAGTCTCTCCAAACTCGCAACCAGGAGGCCCACGTTGAAGCCTTGCGACCTGACGTGGCCAAATAAAAAGCTAAGAACGCACACAGCGATTGCTGATCGTCAAGCCCACTTGGAGAGCATTTGAGCGAGAAACAGCTCAGTCCGGCGCTTCGGAATGCTTCGTCTGCTCATGTCTCTTTTAAGACTTCAGGCGGTCGGCCTTGCCAAAGAGAGCAAGGAGGCTGGCGAGACTTTGAGCGACATGGAGAGGATCGTAGCTGCAGCTTTTGCCGAGGCCTTATTGCGTTGCGGCACCGCCGCTGGAGTGGACGTCGCGTCACTGATGGCCCTCGGCACAGTGTGAGGTGTGAGGACCGTCATCTGGATGTGTAGGCTACCCGTGTGTTCCGAGGCTCGACTTGAGATGTTTGCTGCTGCCGGCTAACTGAGAAGCGTTAAGCACAATTTCAGTGCAGTGTTTGCAGCTGCTGCTGAAAGCAGCGAAGCTGTAAGCTGGGGATGAATCCTGTGAAGGTCATGCAATGGGACCGAAACCGTAACTCGTCGCTTAAAAACAACCATCCAGGAGAGGCCATCCCGGCACATGCCTGGAAGGCCAAATAATTCAGCTGCAATAATTCAACATGTATGTTCATTCAGGCCAGGCTGACATAGGCCGGAAGTCTGAAGCCGTCCAACAAAGACTTGCTGGTCATGGCCGGCAGCGATACCTCCACACGCTCGTCCTCCGTTTTGTAGCCACACTGGAGTCTTGACTTGGCCAGCTTCAACTTCCAGTAGCAAGAATGCCGGATGTGCAACTGGGGCTGCGGAACAAGGCAGGAGCTCGTTGTCGTTCTGAACCCAAGCCTGGCATCTGCCGAGCCCTGTGTGTAATGGATCGTCATCTACCTGCGTGCAAGGACATTGTCCTGCAAAGCCGGCATGAAGGTTTGGAGCATCTGACTGCCTCTAAGGCTCTGGATCGTTCTGAGCTTTGTCTTCTGGCGACGAATAGCCCCTGCCTCGGCCCTGGGCTGTCGAGGGCATTGCCTTTCAGCCGAGTACCTCTTGAACCCAGACGAGCACATCTCACGTCATGTTATTCGTGTCAAAGCAACGAAAACAGCCCCGCCGCCACCAGTATCAACAGCAGCCAGGCTCGGACGTATGCGGAGCGGGCCAGGAGCCCATCGGCCCCCAGAAAAAGAGGGGAAAGGAACGAGCGAAGATGGCTGCATCGCTTAAGATCACCATAGTTTTGTGGGTTGATTTGCCGGCTTCTCGGCTACCGACGCACCTGCATACCGACTGCACCTGGACACAGCCGGTTCCTTATTTAGCTGGAACTCTTTCATATCTAAAGCTATCTGAATCTGGGGG